GTATTTTCTTTCCCTGCCAAATACTCTATCTTACAGTGGTAGCCACTTAACTTTAGCGCCCACTGTTGAATCTTCTTATTATTCGTCCATTCTGCCTGCAGTAGGTACTGCAGGGGCCTATGGTCTGTCTTTATAGTAAAGACAGCACCATTCAAGTAGTAGTCCAGTTTTTGGAGAGCATACATGATAGCATATGCCTCTCTTTCTATTACTGGCCACCTCTGTTGTGTCTCCGAGAGCTTATGAGAGAGAAAGTATATCGGTACTTCCTCTGGTATGCCTGGCACTGGTCCTTCTTTATCGGGGCACGGCTGGGTGAGAACTGCTCCTACACACTGCTCACTCGCATCAGTGTATAGCACCATGGGCTTGCTGAGGTCTGGGTACGTCAGCAGCGGAACGGCTGTCAGCTGCTCCTTTAAGGTATCAAATGCTCTTTGGCAGTCTTCTGTCCATTTGAACCTAGCGTATTTCTTTGTCAGTGCTACTAGGGGTATGGCAATTCTCGAGAATGCCGGGACGAATCGTCTGTAGTACCCTATAGCCCCTATAAATCCTCTTACTTGTCTCACTGACTTAGGTTCTGGCATTTTCCTTATAACTTTCACCTTATCCATGTCGGGTTTAATACCTTCTCCGTTTATAACAAAGCCCAAATATCTAGTCTCATCCTTCAGAAACTGACATTTTGATAATTTTAATTTTAAACCGTGCTTTCTTAGTCTTCCCAACACTTGTTTTAGATGGAAAAAGTGTTGTTCTGGTGTTTCTGAAAATATCAGAATATCGTCTAAATATGCCATGGCAAAACTCTCGCATCCCCCTAACACTATTGACATAAGTTGCTGGAAGATTCCCGGGGCATTAGCCAAACCGAATGGCATCACCCTGAACTGAAACAGTCCCAGGTGACACGCAAATGCAGCCTTTTCCTTGTCAACTTCATCAAGGGCTACCTGCCAATACCCAGACCTCAAGTCCAATGTGGAGAAGTGCTTCACTTTCCCCAATAATGCCAATATGTCATCAATTAGTGGCAATGGCACCGCCAAAGGCTTAGAGATAGAATTCAGTTTCCTAAAATCCACACAAAAACGGTGCCCGCCATCTTTCTTGTCTACTATCATGATTGGGAAGCTCCAAGGGGAAATTGATCTTTCTATCATCCGAGCTTCCAACATCTCTTTCACTGCCTCTTCCACTAGGGGCCTCTTATGAACAGGTGTTCTATAAGGCTTCAATTTCACAGGGGGTGATCGCCGGTATCGATCTTCATTTTTACAGTGTGGGTCTGGCCTAATTCCTTATCTGATTTGGCCACCACATCCCGATTATTTCTTAGCAGACCTCCCACTCTGGCCCTAAATTTATCAGGTGCCAATATCTCTTCGTCTGCTATTTCTTCTGGTTGCTCTATGTATTTTCTTTGCTTCTCATCGAATTTCACTCGATTCAGAGTTCGCAGGGGTAGTGCCTTTCCTACCTCCTCTCCTCTCTTAACCTTTATTGTCTTGTGGGCCTGGTTCACCATCATAATGGGCACTAATTCAGCTGCCTCTACTACTGCCTCACACAGAGCTACCTCATTCTCTTCCGGGCCCATTTCCTCTACAGGGACCAATTGCAGGGTTCCTTTCCTCATTCTCTTCCCTGTCACCAGTCTACCTTTACCTGACACCGCTGTTCTAGGGGGTAGCCTTATATCTTCCTCCACCACTATTGTTATAACTTCTTCTGGTGGATCTCCCAATGGCGTTCTCTCGCCATTTACTACCAACACAGTGGGGTTAAACTCTATACGAGCCTTCTGGCTCTGAAGCCAATCTTCTCCCAAGATTGCTTCCGTACACAGGTTGGGTGTTATGTAGAAGTTCTGGGTACTTCTCAATTTTCCAATTCTCACAGGAAGCCTCGCCATCCCTTTTATCTCCAGGGGGCCACCATCCGCCTGTGTGATTTCTATGTCCGCTTCCCGCATCCCTTCCTTCTGTTTCACCCGTCTGTATTCTTTCTCTCTCAGCAATGAAACAGACGCTCATGTGTCTATCAGAGCTTTCATTGCCATACCTCCTATTTTTGCCTTACAAGACAGCCCCTTCTCTTGCGTCAGCGAAGAGAACACCTTGGCCTTCCTTCGCCTAGCCATAGGTGCTGGCAGCAGTAATTTCCCGTCATCCTCCTCACATAGGGGAGTTCTTCGTTTTCTCTGCCTGGGTGGTCCTTACTGGACCCTCCCCAGTCTCTTTCTGCCATTTCTGAAAGCACAATTCCTCTTCAGGTGCCCTGGTCTTCTACAAAACCAGCACCTTCTTGTTGGGCAGTTAACTGCAAAGTGGCCCACCTGACCACATATCCAACATTTCATGCTCCTTCTTTTTAACTGGGCCACCCTCCCTCTTATTTCTGGAGGGAACCTGCCCTCTTACCAGCCAAAAGTGGCTCTCCTGGCCCATGTCCAACGTTTCATGTCCGTCTTCTTTTTTGGGCCACCTTCCCTGGTCCTGTCTTTCAGGTGCAGCTTTCTTTAATAATATTGGTAGGGCACCTTTCCTTATCCTGCACCACTTAGCTAGGCGTCCCTTCTTCCCACACCTAGTACATCTGTCTTGATCAAAGTCTGGAGGCAATCCCCACTTCGTCGGGCAGTCCGCTGCTCTGTGGTCCTCATACCCACATGTCCAGCAGACCAGCCCGTATCGACCCGGCGTGGGCTTATAAAACCCATGCCTTGTCGACCAAGCCTTTCTTTTGGGATCCTCTTCCCAAACCTCAGGCTCCTCCACCTCCTGCTTGACCTTTCGATTCCCATGCGAGGGCTCTCTTCTCTTTCCCCTTTCTTCCTACCTCCCGACTTTGCTCTTGTGCCTTCCTACCTCCTCTTACTTTCTCCCAAACTCCCTGGCTCTCTTTAGCCAGCGCCACTGCCGCCGACAACCTTAGCGGTCCTTCCTTCATTACGTCATGGCGAATACGCTCGTCACTGAGCGCTTCTATATATAAATCAGCCAACTGGGCCTGCATTACTGCGTTGTGTCTTACTTCCTCTGGGAAAGCTAATGAAGACAGCTTCTCTGCTCGGGTTCCCTAATTCTCCAGGGGTTTCGTCTTTCAGCTGCGTCATCTTCAGGAGGGCTCTCATGGCCTCTATCGCTGTCCCCTTGTCAGCGAACTCCTGAGTCAGCAATACCTCTAGCCTTTCCCATGACAAGTGGGGTTCACTGGCTAAGAGCCCCTTTATGAACTCTGACGCTTTCCCTCTCGTGGCGTCATACGCCAAATACAGGGTTTCTCAGTCTGAGAGTTCATAGATTATGTGGCTCTTATCCAGAATTGCCAACCAATCTCTAAAATTTTTTGAATTACCATCAAAGGCTGGAACCCTAGGTCTGCCCAACAATTTCCTCAGGTCTACTGGCAATCCCTGCTCAACCCCCTCTTCCTCTATGTCTACCCTATCCGAATCGTGGTCAGACATATTTAAACAATTCAAAACAAAAAAACACAATCAAGAGCAGCAACAATCGAAAAATTATTGGGAGATTAACCGAAAAAAAGTGTCTCACCTGACAGATGATTTCCAGGTCATTCTTCTCTGCTTCCGGGCTGTTGAACTAGAGGGTCTGGAACCGTATGGTTATAATTAACCAAAGTCCTTTGGTTCCCACTCTAGCCTGTTTCCGTTTGTCCAGTTGAGATGCCATGTGTTGTCCTGGGCGAAATTCTCTGCAACTCCTGTGGCAGTGGTTAGTTTAGGGTCCCTATCCTGGTCACGGCACCAATATATGTGACACCAAGCTGTCGGCCCGTGGTCAACTCCCAGTCGCGGCGCGAAGCTGTAAGGTTTCTTCTACCGGCGTTTTGGGGTTGACTCTTTGTCGCTGCCACCAGCCTGTGTCCCGGTCGATCGGTGGTCGTCGCTACTCGGCGAAATCCCTGGTCAGGATACCAATATGTGACACTCAGGGTTGAATCCAGTGGTCCAATATGTGGCACCAGGGTCGAGTTCTGGTCGTCGATGTTAACGGTCTTCACCAGTTGTACCGGTTCAATGCCAACTCTATCGTTCCCAGCTCACTTGCAACGTCTGGTTACTGAAGTAACTGCTTTGATCTCAAGTCTAACCTACCCACGTTGTGACTTTGATCTTAGGTAGACGAGATCAATCAGGCGTGGAGTTGTCAATGGCTGTGCTAGAACAAAATTGTAAGTCATTGTGACTGAGGATTTGAGTGTACTGACCTTGTTCAGACTGTTGATCACATCAGATAATGCACTCACTCCCAGAAACTGTAACTAAAGTCTGCTCAGCATAGTTGCAGTATAAAGCACAGGTGGGCTCTGTAGGTGTTGAACAAATACAAATGTGCCTGAGCAGGTGTTTGCAACAGGGATTAGTTAGCCGCCCTAGTAGACGGGCATACTCAGAAACAAGTACTTGTCTATTAATTTCCATAAAACAACACAATTGGGAAAAGGAGAGAGGAGGAATGGGATATCATAAGAAGTTTTGGTGGTAAAAGAGTTAAGTAAGAAAGCTCGAGAAAACCCGGAAAAAAAATTGGTGAAAGGAAAGAAAGGGATGGAGAGAGAAAGACTTGCTGTTTTGAGTTTTATTTCCGCTTTACCTCTGTGATCATTTGAACTGAACAGAGATGATTTTTTTTTTCTTTTGGAGCGTGATGCCTATTGGTACACACACTATTCTTAAAATCAAAAGTTTAGTTTTATTCTGAAATCTTGCTTACTTCGGAAATATTTATTAGATATTAGATTGTGAATTTCAAAATTACAAAACTAGACGAACCTTGCTCTAATTAATGAATTATTTTTCATTGACAATGTCTTAAATTGAAATTAAAGAATCTTGTAATGTTTTTTAACCGCTCCTTTTTTTTTTTTTTTTTTTTTTTTTTCGTCAGGGCGAATTGTCTCCCCTACTAAAACCGCCATTATCCCATTTTAATGTCGAAGAAGGAAGTTTTATTACATCACGTTGATAGACGGTACCAAAAAATTACAAACCGGATTTGAATATAAACTCACTGGATAATTCCATATTGGTATTTATTTATATTTGTCTTTCATAGTTCCAACTGGAAAAAATAAGAAAATTGTTCGTTTTCTATTAACATCGTTTTATTTTTATTTTTATTTCAAAACAACACATGTTCAATCAAGTTCAACTGTTTTTTTTTCCTCCCGCTCTTAAAGAAATTGAATTCTTTTGTTTAATTTTAAATTCAAAATGTTCCTTTGTATCTTTGAACCTTATACACATTTTTACTTCAAAATCAAAATATGAATAAAAATATTTTTCGTTCATTGTTTTTATTTTGAATTACTGATTTTTTTTTTTTTGCTTTGTTTCGTTTTTTATTAAATAGAAATCGGGAATAATAATAATAATAATAATAATAACGGAAAAATATATAAAAAGTAAAAACTGATAAGTGAAAAAGGTCCCAATATGAGTTATGATAAATAAATCATGTTATTTAATTTATTTTAAACTAATTAAAAATTAATTATATTTGTTATGCAATTAAATTTGTAGGGATTTTTTTTAAAGTAAATAAATAAAAAACGCAATTAAGTTAAAAAGATTAATTCTAACTTTAATCTTTTTTTAGGGTGGGGGTCTCGGTTACATTGCCTTATTTTGGAAACAAATTTACCATCTTTTTGTGTTCTTTATTAGTTAGTTACTCAATCCATTGCGTTTCAAACAATTTTAACGTCAAATACTGATTGCCTCCCTTATATCGCAAGTATGATTTTAAACTGACTCATATTCTAAAATTTTATTTGAAAAGCCATGCCTTCGAAATAAAATAAAATAGCGTTTGAAATGTATTTCATTTATTTTAACTTTTTTTTCAGTAAATAAAAAGTTTAAAAAGACACAATTTGAAAATCCATTTTTTTTTACCTGCATAAGAAACAAAACGAAAAATACCGTCTGAAATGTAATTTATTTCAACTTTACTAGAGCATTAATAAAGTCAACTTTTCGTCTTTAATTTGAAGAAATGGCGACAGTTAGTGGCGAAATTTTCTTGAGGATCCACCAAGCTTGTTTTTGTTTTTCCTGGGTGAGAGTTTAGAAAACCAAACTGTCATACCAAAAAACAAAAAACTTTAGAATTTGGAGATGAGAGTATTTATTTATTTTTGTTTTTCAAATTCTGGGATTTATTTGCCACAAATATTGACTTATGTTAGCCTTCCCTTTTCATTCGTGAAAAAATTATATTGAAATGTTATTTTTGTTTTCTTTCTTGAATATATGACTTTCTTTATCCAAAGATGGAGGACTCATAATACTCGTCTCTTACGGGCGATGTAATGCAGATAAAATATAAATCAATGTTTGGCATGTAAAAATCGTTTGAAACCCTAAAATGTAGTATATACCTATTAAAAAAAAAAAATTAGTTTTTTTTTTTTTTTTTTTTTTGTCATATGTATGTCTCTCTTTTATAATTCATTCATTCATTCAACTGTCTCCGTTAATTAACGCCAACGGAAACAGTTGAATAAACAAAAAAATAAAGACTGCCAATAACAGTCCCCACACGAGGAATATATGTGGCACAAGGTCGAGTTTAACGTGGGTTTCTCCGAGCCCGCAGGTTCGTCCAAAAATATCCCTTTAGAACCTGCATAAGTGGGTTCGGGATCTGTCTACCTCCCCGCACGAAACTTTGCCCTTCGGCAAAGCTTCGTCCGGGTTCCTCTCTGCCAAAGCAGAGAGTTCGACAGAAATCGCACACAGAGATTGCGTTCTGACTGCCCGCAAAAAAAATAAAAATAAAGACTGCCAATCAATAGGTCAGATAAACAAATCCTTATAAAGACAACACATTACTTATAATTAAAATCAAAGTAAAGCTAAATCTTTAAAAAAGTCAGGAATCGACTTGACACTGTATTTATGAACATTGTATTTAAAAGTTTGTGCCAGATTAGAAAATTAAAAACAGGATTTTACATACTCACAAAAAAACTTATATTAGTCAAGTACAGTTTCCATTGTTTTTTACCAACTGTCTTCCATCGTTCTTCTAACTTGTTGATGCCATTTTCGTAGAAACTTGTTTTTTGTTGGAAGAAGGTTGTGAGATAGTTTGCGACTAAATATGCAAATTTTTTTATCATTTAAATTATTGCTCTGTAGAGACTGGAAAAATGAACATCTGAAGGAGCCAAGTCAGGAGAATACAGTGCATGCTAGAGAGTTTCCCATTTTTAAGCTTCTGCAAAGTCTATTTTGCAACATGCAATCTTGTATTGTCATGGTGGGAAATGACACCTTTTCGATTTGCCAAAATTGGCCGTTTTTTCTTAAATAGCAGCATTGACATTGGTGACTTGGTTGCAATACTTCTTTTCATTTATTGTTTCACCAACTGAAAAAAGCTCTAAGTGAAGTAATTATCTCTCTGCAATCTCACCAAATGAACAGCAACACCTTCATTGGATGCAAGCCCACTTTAGCTATAGATTCTGCTCATCCACAAGCTTGTTTCCAGCTCCATTTGCATCAAATGTTATTTTAAATGATCACTTGTGACAATTCTGTCCAAGTATGGCTCTTTTTGTTGCATAACAGCAAAGAAATTGCTGTAGAAACACAATCAAGCTTGTTCTGTTCCAACAGAGAATGTGGCACCCACATACTGAGTTTGGAAACGAATCAAAGTTTCTTCAAAAGGCAGTTGAGAAATCAATTTTCAAACTCCTAGCAACCTCTTCCAAGTAGAGCATCTACATTGATATCAGAAGGTTGCCTAGAGCACGGTTTATCAGTTAGGTTAAAATCACCCTGACAAAATCTACCAAATCACTTTTTGACCATCTGAAGAGCTACAGCACAATTCAGATACATCTTCTGAATGTTTTTTGTTGCAGTTAGTCCTTTCCAAAATTCATAGAGCATAATATGGTGAAAGGGCAACTTTTCATCCTGCATCTTTAAGGCATTCATTTGTGGACAAAACTTCAACATTCCACAAAGCCTGACTCACAACTGAATGATGTAAGGTTTCAATCTAGAACACCAGAAATCGGCACTAAAACAAACACTAGTGCCAAGTTGCAGTCATTTTATATTAACAATGAAAATTGGGCACAAAAATTTGCAATGATCTGATATATTATGGAGATGATTCCGTTCTAAAATAATAAAAAGCAAACATCATTGGTAAAGAAAGGTCTAATGAATATTAATCCACAAAAATTAGTTAAAAAAACTTTTTCCATAATTTTTATTTCATTTCCCTCAGTAGTGCATATTTTTGAAAGGACATTTTAAGTATCCTTTAATTTTTAGAAATATTCTTTGGTCCTTTTTTCATTATGCCGAGAAAAACAAAATTGGTTCTTTAACCTTCCTGTAAAACATTTAAATTACAAACTTATTTTCAAAACTTACACAAACCGTTGATAAAAATGAGAATAAGATGAACAAAATACTAATCAAAGGCTAAAAAGGCATCAGTTTCACTTTATTACCTTCAAAGGGTTTGAGACTAATTCAAAATCAACTTTTATCAGTAAATTTTTAAATAAATTACTATTACTTGCTTGTAAACTCAGTTTTAAAGCAATTCTGTTTTTTCTTTGTCTTTACTTATTTAACTAGTTTTTTTTTTCTCTTTTCAGGATCTGCATTTGAAGCACAAATAAATGAATAAATAAAGCCAAATCTGCAAAATGTCTAGCCAGTATTACATGTCTTGTTTTCCTGCAATTAACTTTATAAATTTTAATTGTGTTGGGAAACCAACAACAAACATGATGATAATTGATTTAACCCGGGACACAATATCCAAGATGAATATTTATGGTATTAGTTTTTTTCAATGATAACCATTGTGATATATTATTGTAATAACAAGTCTTGTGATGTGAAAGCACTTAAAGTTACAATGTAAGTGGAATAAAATGAATTCTAGTTATTCTTTTTTTTTTCCTGACAGTGCACAAAACAATCAAAAGTGACTTGATGGATCAATACCAACAAACTTGTGCCTTTTGACTTTATATTCACTTTATTTCATTGTATCCATCAAGAACTAAAAACAAAGAGCTTTGGTTGTAAACAAGAATGATAAAACTTTTTTTAAATACTTTTTGGAAGTTACTTTAAATACTGCTGAAACTTGTATGCTCAACTCAAAAATATAAATTGAAAACATGCAAAATAATGATAAACTGGATTTTAAGGTATTTTGAATTTTATTAAGTTTCAAAGAAGGAAAAATTTCAAAGACTTATCAGATTGTGTGAATTAATTTCACATGGTACATGAAAAAATATGATGATTTAGAAATTTTATCATTATTATTAAATTCTGTGTCAGTTTTAAATGCTGTGCTCCAAAATCCATGCAAAAATAGTAAAATGCACATGAAGATTAATGAATGGGATTGCTTTGAAAAAAATTTATTTAAGGCATTTATTCTAGATTTTTAAAGAAGTAAAGATCTCAAGACCTATTAAGGACGATAAGCTGTTTTACAAGACACTTAATGTAGGCTCAAGATTCCTACCACAATGGATGAAAGCTTGCTTTGTAAATATTGCAACAAGATGTTCAGCAGTGCCTCTGAACTGACTTTGCACAAACAGGTACACACATTCTCATGTGACATCTGCTCCACTGAGTTTATGTTCAAGTCGCTACTATCTGCACACCTGAAAACTCACTCCAAAAAACCATTTAAGTGTGAGATATGCTCACGTGGCTTCACAAAACAGGCACAGTTTGCAGCCCACACTAAGACTCATGAGAGTTCTCCCTGCTTTAAGTGTGGATTCTGTGACCAACTGTTCACAGAGTCTTCAACAATGCTCACCCACATTGAGGAACACCTGCAAAATACTTACAGATGCGGCCAGTGCTCAAAAGGCTTTAAATTGTTTAACGATCTCTCTATACATCTTCGTAGTCATTTCAAGGCTAAGAGCAGTGGTCCACGTGCCAAAAAAGCAGCTGTGACAAACTTGTTTATTGAGCAGATGACCACAACTACAGACAAAATGCTAACTGAGAACACGGTGAGCAATGGTGGGGATAGAGCCGTTGCTCCCACAATTGGCACAGAAGGTAAACCACGAAAAGTCCACCAGTGTGAATACTGCAATGCAATATTTAAAAGAAAACACCTTCTAACCACCCACCGGAGAATTCATACTGGTGACCGACCATTCAAGTGCAGCTATTGCACAAAAGACTTCAGCCGCTACTATGCAATGGTTGCTCATGAGAGGTTGCACACAGGTGACCGCCCATACAAGTGTCCTCACTGTGATAAGTCTTTCACAGTGTCCAGCCATCTTAATGTCCACCATAAGCTAAAACATGTTAACCTCCGTCCTCACAAATGTGAACTTTGTGAGAAGGCCTATCGTAGCCCTGGAGAATTGCGTATTCATATGCGTTCACACACTGGTGACAGGCCTTTCTCTTGTGAAATGTGTGGGAAGCGCTATGCAACGCAGTGCTCCCTGACCATCCACAAAAAGACTCACTCACCAGATAAAAAGCCCTATGTATGTGAATTGTGTGGCCTGTCCTACAAGCAACCAAGTAGTCTTGGTGTTCATGTGCGGACATCTCACAGTGGCGATAAAGAAAAGAGGTATCAGTGTGAGTTTTGCCAGAAGGGGTTTCACATTGCTGGTAGCCTGCTTCGCCACCGGCGCATTCATACAGATGAAAGGCCTTATGCATGTGACCAGTGTGAAAAATCTTTCCGGGAGTCTTCAGCCCTCAAGGCTCACAAACGGCGCCAACACTTGGGTGACCGACCTTATGCTTGTGATTGTTGCAAAAAATCCTTCTGTACTCCCACAGACCTTGCTCGTCACAAGAAGACCCACAAAGGTCTTATGGTACTGTCCTCATTGGCAGCCAGCATTGCTGAAAGTGAAATAAAAGTTTCGAAACCAGGCACCAAAATTCAGAATGAACCTCCACCTGTGTCAGTTATGGTGCCTGTCTCCATCTCTCCTACTGTTGCCCCTGCTACTCTTGAAGAAATGTATGCAACTCATCATGCACAAGCAACTGCAGAAATTCCTCTGCCTCAAGAAATCACTTTACCCCAAGAAGTGTCCATCTCAAGAGAAGTGACTGTTTCCCATGAGGTGCCTTTGCCCCAGGACATTACTGACGTGGCTCATGAAGTTCCCTTAGCCCATGAAGTTCAGCTTACACAGGATGTGACTCTCTCCCAACCGTCCATTCCCTTGACCAATGACTCTATGGTTGCAGCAGCTGTTGTTGTAGCTGAACCACAACCATCTGTGATCTCCTCAGCCATTGGACCTGTTACATTCACATTACCTGTTCCTTCCATCCATCAGACTGTAAACCTTGATCAACCTGTCACTTTGCCCAGCGAAGTTGCTCTTCACTTACCCCCTCAAATGTCTGTGACTTTGTCCACAGCAAACTCTTCCCCTGAACCTGTGTCCCCTACATCCCAGTCTGTCACACTCCCTCAAGTTGTCCAGTCTCTTACATAACACAACTGGACTGGGTTGAATCAAACTATTGTATTTGAGCTCAACAAATAAAGTCTTATAATTTATCCTTTTCTTAATTAAACTTTATAATTTTATTTCAGATTTTAAAGTTTATTGCAGTGTCTGTCCATTGAATTCTCTGGAGATGTGGAGAGAAATGCATGCATCTCTGTTAAATCTGCAGATTCGTAAATGTTAATAATTATTGCCATTATCTTTTTTTTAAAAGTAGAAACAAAATTTTCTTGATGCATAAAAACTAAGTTATATTGATCCATGTCCATCTTCAGGAAATGACAATAAATGAAACAGATTCAGGTAAACTGAAACCTGCTTACTGACATTGAGGTGCAACTTTTCAAAAATATTTATTTGTTAGTGAACCCTTTTTGTAAATAATAGAACATCTTTTTATTTATTTTTTTTTACTTTTGTTACTTAGTTTGTTTCACAATAAAAAGTAGATTTTTGCCCCACTAATAAAAATCCAAATTAGTTTCCATCAGTATAAACAAGCACTTCAGAAAACTTTGTTATTTGAATATTATTATACTGAAAACAAAAACTATATTAGATTTTAATGATATTGGTAGTCTTTATGAATTTACAGGAAACAAATATGAACATCATAGAAGCCAAATTTCAAAATAACTGAAAAGATATAGGAACATGTCAATTTTCAAAATATTAATTTGATGCCATCTTTCATTATAAAAACAGATTCAAGTATGTAATCAAAGCAAATTGGATATTTTCTACTTGATTTTTGCAGTGATGTTAATATCTTTACCAATGTTTATGACTATAATTATCTTTGGTCCATAGAGTACACAATCTTAATCAGTTCAATAATTAGATTTACCACAAGAAGGTATTTTAGAAATATTTAGATAGCCTTTTATTTGATGTTCGGAATTTTCTTCTGGCTCACACTATTAATATGTAAAGAATTATTCAAAACTTTTAAAATATTTAAAAGACCTGTTGTGATCACACTTATATTTTCTTTTTGAATATAGTACATCAATAATTTGGTTTAACAGTTTTTTGTTTTCAGACATGTTTATCAATGTTGTGTTTGGCCCTAAATTATGGGTAAATGAAAATCTGATAAGATTATAAGGAATCTTTTCTAAAATTAATTTTTGTACTACTGGGAAGAGTGATCTTTAAAAATATTTTTTTTTATTATACATGCCTACAAGTAAAGTTGAAGGTATAAAGACTTTATAGGCTTCAATGATTTCAGGAATGTGAGAGGGGCTTTAATATTAATTCAAATAAGACATTTCTGTTTTTTAACTATCATAAATTGTCTTTTAATCAAATTTGACTTATTGAATAAAAAAGACTTAAGTTTCCTATGAACATTTTGTTGCATGAAGTTGTTACTAGATTTAGAACAAGGAAACTACTCTTTCTATGAAAAGTTGCACAAAGGTTTCTAAATGTATGTTTGTAAACTAAACAGAAAACTAATAAATTATACCGATAGGATTCAAAACTTATTACACAAATCACAGGAATGAAATGTTTGCAAAAATTCATTATTAAGCTATTACTGCCCATTGTCCCAAAAATGGGTTATATGTAGAAACTTAAATTAATGCTGGATTTTACAGTGAGTATTAATGTGTAATGGCTTACAAGCCCAGGAAACTAATCTCTATACTGTGGTGTGATAGATTTAACTAATTAAAAAGCATTAAGTTTTTGTATTATTATTATGTCAATTGTTTCTCTTTAGTAATGTATAATTGATTCAATGCATAACTTTCTAAGCTTTTGATTATAAAATAAATAACCATTTGCCCCTTCATTTTAGTTATACAAAAAAGGAATTTCTAAGCAGAAACCATTCACCCTGATTCAAAATTTGTTTTCATTCCCTTTCATGCATGTGTAATAAATATTTTTGATATTATATCAGTCAATGGGTTAACATTAATTGGGAGCTGGGAAAATAAGTTTTAACTACTTACGATATTTTGTTGCTTACAGGTGGAATTCTTTTAGCAAAGATTTCACATTTCCCATGATCCACCCCCACCCCACCTCCCAATTTCCTAAATCATATCGATGTCAATGTGTGATGTTATATTAAGGAATTAAAGATAAACATATTTTGGATATTTGTAGGTCATCAAAATTTGGTTAAAAGACAACGTGTACATAATTGTTTAATTATACATTCACAATGACTTCAGTTTGAGGTCATTTTTCTTATAAGCAAAAGTTAATGGGAAAAACAGTTGTCACATTATTATTAGTGATATATTGTTTTGTTAATATTTTACTTGCTACTGATGTTCTCTGCCTATCCATCTTAACAAACAATTAGGTACTAAACAGAAAATGTTCACTTAATATAAAACTCGTATGTACATTATTTATTTACTCTATCAAACTATTGTCCTCATCTTTGTTGTTGTTAAAGACCAGAAACCACTTTTTCTTTGTTAAAACAAAAGGATACAATATATGTAAGTAGTTTAAATACTTTGTCATACACTTGGTGATTTATCAAGATCAAAGACCTTCAAATTTAAGAACACAAACAAAACTGAATGTTCTTTTGTAATTTTTAAATTCAGTATTGTGGTGTGTGTGTGTATTATAACCTAACAGACAGCACCTCTCCATTGTACTATCAGAATTGGGTCAAAGGTTACCTCTGATGCACTTAAGAAAAATTTTCCTTTTACTGACACATACATATTAAACCTGACTTTGTCTTCTATATTTTTAAAATTGTTTTTTTCATTATCAGCAACAGACTTTGCCATTTTTTTCTTTTAAATGGCTTTTGTTAGCAACTTACCCCTTACGTATGTTTTATGAATTTCAGTTTACAATATTTAGCTCTCATCATAATAATTTTTAATGGATGATATTGTGTTACTCCAATATTCCAAGTGGGGAAGGCTTACCTTAAAAATCCACATTTTAATTTTTTTTTTTTACCAGGCTTGAAAACTGATCACTGGCACCAGTAAGTACTACATCTGATCCACTAAACACGTCAATAAGTAAAGTAACTTTTATGAGTTGGCATGTATACTGAATAAGAAACTATTAACACATTTTTTTTTCTTTTTAGTCAGATCTGATGGCTTCTTATGCAAGAAGAATTCTTTCCATTCAGTAGTTTCTGATGAAGCTTTTTGTTTAGAGCATCAAATTTATTAAAATGAAATTTTATAATTCTATTCTGGTGCAGTATTCATAAAACAATTTAATATCTTGCTGTACTATTAATTCATTTGAATATGTAAATTTTCCATATTAAAGTGAAACAAAAATTAATGCTGTCATATTCATGACATACACTTTCTAATAAAATATTCATTCAATATACAAACTATGTACATCAATTGACTGTCAGAGTAGAAAATAGAGAACCATTACCTGATCAAAGACAGTGCTAAGCAGAGTCTGAATTGGACATACACATTTTACACATAAATACTTACTCAAAAGAAAAAGTGTATCTTGATCAATTGCTCACTGTTAAACACAGCCTAAAAGACTGCCAAAAATACAAAAAAAAATGATGTAGAAAACCTTACCATGCTTTTCAAAAATGTATCTTTCTCAAATGATAGTCAACCTGAAAGAAGTAGGCTGCTTCCAGCTTCCAGCACTTATAGAAGAAAGCACAATACATTTTATTTATAAACTATATCTCTTTAAAAAAAAAAAAACATTATCCTGAACATATTAAATTGTGTACAAAACATCTGTAGTTAAAGCCATTAAGTTGCATACAAAATATTTGGATTTTGGCATTAGTGGCCCATGAAGGCTTTCATGCTGCTGAACAAAACCAACTATGAATCAATCAATCAACTCAACATTGCCAACTGTTGAGAAGCATTTTGCTACTAACCTTCTGTCTCAGTCAAATGTCTGCCATGAACAATCAATTTATATGCTGCTTTTTCAACACACATATAATGAGAGTAGATGAATTGCTATGCAGATGCAAACTGGTACTGCATTTTATGCTGCATATGTGATGCACATCTTTGTGCCATGAAAGCTGGAAGTCATTTTGTGTGGGGAATGAAATTATATCTCATAACAGCACCCTAAAATTGGTGTTAAAGTCCAATTATTCATTTTTTTAAACCAATCAGAGAGGTTTGCCTTTCCTTAAAAAACCCTCCTTGCTTCATCAGTTGTGATGACAACAGTCAGTGGGGTGATTCTATCCATCCCCCACTGTTTCCATTTCTTGTACACATTAATATTCTACACAATTCCATGTGAAGAATGAGCAGATGCATTGTGATTGTCATGACAATGCAATGGTTACATTACACAAATTTATTCAATGGAATCTCACTGATGACTGAATAATCCCATGGAATAGTGCATGTTTATGCATGTGCAGTAAAGTTCCCTCTTTACTGACATTGATGTGCAGATGGACCACAATGTATACATGAAAGAAAGTGAGAAATTAAAGTACAAGGATTCACCTAGTTAATACCCAGATGGGTGATACCAGGTGTTGTAATCTTGGATGTGTGGGTGGTGTAATTGGAATTGTTAATCGGAAAACCAAGTTCCAATTCCAATCGGGTTCATTATATTCACTTATGTGTAAATACTCTTGGTAAAGGTATGAATCCACCTCTTCTCATCCAGTTGTGGGTTAATTAGTAAGACTTGTATCACTAAAAACATTACCTCAAAAAATATTTTCTTGCTTTAAGTGAACTTCAAGGTGTTGGTAAGCCATAGATAGCCAATCAATCATGTCCATAATGGTAGGTGCACTTTGAACTGAGCTAAAAGCACTCAAATCAAGAGGGGATGAATTGGATATGAAAGTTTGAAAATGTACAAATCATGGTATAGCTGGGCCCTGCAAGGATACTGGGAAAGGTGGTAGAGATTTGAGGGAACTCACATTCACTCACTCTTCAGCAATGACTACCACAACATCTGTTTTGAACATAAATAAAAAATAACAAATATCAACAGACATTATT